TCATCCGTGGAGGGAAACGCACGCGCAAGAAATTAAATATGAAACCACGCGCACGACCTGGAGCGCTCACTCTTCTAAAAAGCTCCCCGCTCGCGTGTTGCACGTGCTACTACACCAACCTTGGAACGGCCTCGTCCCCATTTCTTTTCGGCAGTGGAGCCGAGGTTGACTTTGAAGTAACACGGTGCTCACAGTTAACAAATTCAACCATTCAACCATAATCTTCACCTTTATGACGGAGCTTTGGGTTGATGATCAAGGGTATTTTTAATAGCAAACTCTTTTCAATATACAGAATCCAAGGAAGAACCAGTTCAGCCACCACCAGAAAACAAGAAAATTCAAACTACCGTTACCACTTCCTCCCTAAATCGAACAGAAAGTGCTCCAACACCGAGCATATTCACGTATGTCGACGAACCTCCCGCTGCAAATGAAATGAAAAGGCTCATGAGGGCTCTTTCAACTCAGGGGGCGGTTTGCTCGGATCAACGCCGCATAGGGGGCTTGCCAAGGGGTCCACATGGGGCCCCTCGTCCGTTCGGTCCTGATGGCATGTGGTATATCTGTTTTGACGAGGAAGTCCAATTAATTCCGGGTACATGTGTTGTTTACTCTATCGGGTAAGAAACCTTTGCAGTTAGGCTCTGTTTCCAGTCGTAGGTATGTCAATGCGCCAAGGCTTCTCCCCACTTGTGTGAGGAGAATCGCGGACGCTTTCACACACCCGCAGCTAGAAACTGAGCCGTATAGCTACGAGTAGGTAACGTAGCTTGCTCACGAGTGGGGAATAGTCGTCAGAAATTCTAAAAGGGCTCATGAAATGTAGAAGAATTTCATACTCAGCGCAGCGCAGCTCGTCGGCAGCGCATGGATTCCACAGGCAAATATCAGGAAAATGTGGTCACCGGCCTGTATTTAACAGTGTTATCCATTAAAACTGTGCAGCGCAAACGATAAATAGCTGTTTGAAGATTAAATTGACGAATTTTAATTAAAAATCTGCGTAACCTCCTTGAATCAGTAAGGCGAAAGCGCTCATAATGTTTGTCAAATATCACTTATAGTACGCACTTCAACATTTCAGGGAAACTTAGTTTTGGGGCTCTTAAAGCTATCGACTACAGTCGCTTCTCATCGCTAATATAGATCATACCATGAAGCTAGAGAGGCTGATTACGTTATATACAGCTGTAATGAACCTTGGTGAACTCGTGAACAGACTAAATTTATGGTTTCGAGTTGTCGTGGCCGGAGAAATTCTCTTTTGTATAGTTGTTGAAAATCAAATCAACTAGTCTTCGTAGCAGGCGCTCAAAAGGGAAGGGGAGGGGGGGGGGGGGGGAGAATTGGCTACAGAAGTGCGCGCCAGTGTTACAGTGATATGGGAATCCCCATTCCCAAAACTCTAGTGATATGGGCATTCTCTTCTCATATTACCCTAGCGATTTGGGTTAGGGATAGGGTTGTACAGGGGATGCCCATATCATTAGGATTTTGGGAATGGGGATGCCCAAAACGAGTGATGCCCATGTCACTGTGACACCGGGGAGGAGGAGGGGAACCTCCCCCTTCGCCCGCCTTCGTCCCCAGCGTTTCTTCCTTGTGAAAATCCCCTTCCCCTTTCGAACGCCTGTCATGCCGGGTCAAACAACAAACCCTTTCCGAGTTGCTTCTCTGTAAAGACGAGGGTAAGTGCGAAGCCTTTGGGGTATGAGGTTACATCAGGAGCCCATAACCTGGTGCTCGTGTCACGGCGTAGGCATGGACCACTTTATTTTTAGAACGGTTTTGGGGCGAATTTCGAATATCTTCTAAATTCCACAAACCAGTCAGCAAAACCTACAGACCTGAAAATGATATTTTTTGACTTTTAATAACGTTTAGTTTTCCTTTTTGATATCTTATACTTCGAATGCGCTTATAGACATGGTGAAGGTTCTATTTTCGCGGGAAAAAGCGCCCTACCCTAACATGTGTCTAAAAATGTAGACATATTAAATTCTGCAAGCAGAATACTGCAATGCTGATCGTACTACCTGAAAATCAACTCTGCAAGACATCAACACGACACCGAAAGAACTCAAAAAAGAGCGAGATTGAAGCCATAGACAGCTGTTTCGCCCTCTTTGGGGCTCGTCAGTATGGCGTAACAACCAGAGAAAGATCTGATGAAAAATATTCGCGCACTCTGATTTAAGCCGTGACCTAGAACTCTCAACACCCACAGAATCACGCCATGCCACGTGTCTTCTGGGGGGCAAGAGTCCAAGTTTCAAGTTGATGTTTCGCAGAGAAAATAAAGAATTGGCCAAAATCAACCTCTAAAAAATGGACAGAACCATGCAAGAATTACGGAATATCGGATCTATGAAAGATCTACGGCCCCAGAATACATAAAGTACAAACATTAACCACAAAGGACTGCAAAGGACCCCAAACGAATATGCTGATCAGCTCTTTATAGATCCTACGTTCTTCGTCATATTCGTTTGCGGTCCGTCTGCAGTCCTTTGTGGTTAATGTTATTTTTTTTGCGCTTGGCCTCATTTTGAAGGTGAGCCGCTTGTGAAACTCGGAAACAGCTTATTAAGTTAGTTTGGCTTAAACGTTTCAGTCAATTTCTAACCAACGTATTTTACGATTTTCATTCCTGAAAGGACGGGTGATGATTTTTCGTTTGACGAGAAGATGGCAAACCATGGTTGTAACGTGTTTGCGTTTGACCCTACAATGGGGAGAGAAGACCACAATCATAGCCCGAGAGTCATGTTCTACAATCTTGGACTGTCGGATGTTGATCAAGAAGGAGCTGAAAATGTTTCAAACAAGCTCGATAAACGCACATGGAAAACTAGAACCCTGGCGTCGATTATCAAGGAACTGGGACATTCTAAGGTGAAAAACTGTTACTGAATATCGTATTTCCTCGAATAATAGCCGTCCCTCGATCAATCGCCTCCGTCAAATAATCGCCCCTCCCCGCCCCTCTCGCAATCTTCTCTTCCTTTTATCCCCTCCCTGTCAAGTTGAAGTGAAATGAGATCCAGCAAAACTGATCGGTGACGATTCAAACTCTGAAAATTAATGAAGGAACTAAATTAGGAACATTCAAAAAGCCCATGTTCAGTTTATTTGACTTCCAGTGAGTAATATTTGGAGTAATCATCGACTCCCTCGAATAATCGCCTCCTTTTTTGTGCGCAAAAAGAAATAATCGCCCCCGGCTATTATTCGAGGAAATGCAGTAAGTTTCTAATTTATCAGCGAAAGACATCACATTTCTACCATAGCATTGCGCATTAGCAAATAGAGCGATTTTCTAATGACCTTGAAATGAAAACTCTCAAACAAAACAGAAACAACAAACGAACGGAAATAGAGCGATTTGATTGGTTTATCGAACAGATACAAACGCGCGTGGCTTTTGGTTGGTTAAGCGAACGCTCGGCTGAAAAAACTTCACGCCCGGGAACTTTCCAAAAATCAATCGATACTTCGCCTTGACGTCATACTGCAACACTATTGGCCAATTCAACAATGTCTTCTCCATATTAGGGTTTTCTTTGTCGGGAAAACGAATAGTCCATGTTTTGATCTTTTCATCCACTAGCTGATAAAACAGATAACGAACACTTATCGAAACCATTCTTCAATGTCATACGAAAATCGCTCTATCGACATTCCAGTGGCAGCAGTATGTAGGATGTTTGTCACATGAACCTAGTGTTGTGGCCTCAGTTTCCACGAGTTTTCTGTAGCTCAGCGGTAGAGGATCTGGATGGTGTGGCTCGACACCTATCGGGAGTACTCGGATTTTTTCTTCCGAGCCGCCTGTCGCATTGTCTGAATAAACATCTTTCTTAAGAAAATTCATGCAGATGCAGGACGTATCCCTGGTTTTTCATAAACTGGCCTCTAGCGTTACAATCACCCTGTTCGATATGGATCACTTTAGGTTTCTGGGAAACTGCCCACCTACCCCTCCCCTAAGCCATCATCATCACTTACTTCTCACTTAGGGAAAAATGTTGGCTTAGGGGAGGAGTAGGTGGGCAGTTTCCCAAAACTGATCCTTCGATATACTCAAACAGCAGCTAATCTGAAACCATATCATCTGAAACCCCCTTTCGGCAATCAGTCAGTCAATCAGTCAATCGTTCAGTCAGCCAGTCATTGATCCGCTTACAGCAGCGTTGCGTGTCTGCGACTCGAGCGGTTCCAAAGGCAATCGTGCCCAGAACCTTCTTTAACCTCGTCCAGTGGTCCTTAGTGCAGACTACGAGCAGTCTCTCTTTTTTCTGCAGTCCGTCGCGCAAAACTCGAGCCACGCAAATAGCCACGCGCGTGACTGATGGCGCGAGACGGGAGAGGCACCAAAAAAGAGAGACTCTCTTTTTTCTTCTCGGGCTGCCGCCCTCGTTTCGCGCGTCTCGCTGCTTCGCCGCTCCCGCGCGCGTGCATTGCTCTCACTAAACCTGAAGAAAAAGGGAGACTTCTCGCAGTCTATCCTTAGCGCTGACCGAAAGAATCGCAGCCTCTGGAAACGAGACTACTGCGAAGGAGTCTAAGTCAACTTTCATCTAGGGCTTGCGCGAGCCTCGCTATTACGGACGCTACTTTCACTGGTCTTTGAAAACGCACCTGCTACTGTTTTTAAGGCTAGGGACATTGTTTGGTCTTTCATCACTCCTATTAATTCGTTAGCCAATTATACATCTCGTGCTAAAAGACTCGGAGGTCGCACTAAGCTGTCATCTATAAAGTGGCCTGGGTTCGATGGTGTCCAGTGCCCATGCGTGAGTTGTGTTTTTTCATTTGGTGCTTGTCCTTCGGCTGCAATATTTATTTTTTTAAAATCGAGCGCTAGTTTCCAATTTCCTATTCGATCTGAAACGCACAAACACTCGTTTTGAGGACTTTTGTATATGAAGTTCTTTGCGGGTAAACAATTCACTTTTAATTTACACTTTTTATACTTATTTTCTTTTCCGGTAGAGAGAAATTGACATTCTAAAGATGGATATCGAATCAAACGAATGGAGGTGCTTACGTCATATGCTGGCAGACGGAACCTTAAAAAATTACGTGAGGCAGCTTAATGTGGAATATCACGTGATCGTGAGGACACCAGAAGCTCTAAGACGATACTACAGTACAGCTAAATGGCTTGAAAGACAAGGATTTAAAATATTCCATTCTAGAAGAAATCCATACTGCCCGGAATGTTGGGAAATGTCGTATATAAACTCCAATCTAGTCAACTTGCCTTTGAATTAACCACCCTGTGCGCTTTCATAGTCCCGGATCCAAAAAAAGTTTGAAGTCAGCGAGATTTTTATGTATTTCAATTTATACCTTTTATTTTCCTCAGTTTCATCTGACACTTTCCAACTTCAAATCTCTTCTTTGCGACTTAAGATAGGCAGCTTATCTCATTTGTTTTTTCAAGAAGATAAAATTCCTTTTTTTCCTTGTACCCCTCCCCCTTCCCAGCAGACACGTTCTGCAAAAAGTTTTTAAAAATATTAAAATGATTTTCGTAAGCCGCAACTAAAAGAAATTCAGTTTTTAAAACGCTAAATATAATATACTATACGCTTTAAAAAGTAAAGCAAATATAAGTTATTTATTAAAAAGCTCAGAGAAATAATTTTGTACATATAAAAGGCAATCGTCCCCAGAACCTTCTTTAAACTCGTCCAGTGGTCCTTAGTGCAGACTACGAGCAGTCTCTCTTTTTTCTGCAGTCCGTCGAGCAAAACGCGAGCAAGCAAATGGCCACGCGCGTGATTGATGGCGCGAGACGGGAGAGGCACCAAAAAAGAGAGACTCTCTTTTTTCTTCTCGGGCTGCCGCGCGCGTGCATTGCTCTCACTAAATCTGAAGAAAAAGAGAGACTTCTCGCAGTCTATCCGTAGTGCTGACCGAAAGAATCGCAGCCCCTGGAAACGAGATTACTGCGAAGGAGACTAAGTCAACTTTCACCTCGGGCTTGCGCGAGCCTATTACTATTACGCTATTACGGACTCTACTTTCACTGGCCTTTGAAAACGCACCTGCTACTGTTTTTAAGGCTAGGGACATTGTTTGGTCTTTCATCACTCCTATAAATTCGTTAGCCAATTATACATCTCGTACTAAAAGACTCGGAGGCCGCACTTTGCTGTCATCTATAAAGTAGCCTGGGTTCGATGGTGTCCAGTGCCCATGCGTGAGTTGTGTTTTTTCATTTGGTGCTTGTCCTTCGGCTGCAATATATTTTTTTTTAAAATCCAGCGCTAGTTTCCAATTTCCTATTCGATCTGAAACGCACAAACACTCGTTTTGAGAACTTTTGTGTATGAAGTTCTTTGCGGGTAAACAATTCACTTTTAATTTATACTTTTTATACTTATTTTCTTTTCCGGTAGAGAGAAATTGACATTCTAAAGATGGATATCGAATCAAACGAATGGAGGTGCTTACGTCATATGCTGGCAGACGGAACCTTAAAAAATTACGTGAGACAGCTTAATGTGGAATATCACGTGATCGTGAGGACACCAGAAGCTCTAAGACTATACTACAGTACAGCTAAATGGCTTGAAAGACAAGGATTTAAAATATTCCATTCCAGAAGAAATCCATACTGTCCGGAATGTTGGGAAATGTCGTATATAAACTCCAATCTAGTCAACTTGCCTTTGAATTAACCACCCTGTGCGCTTTCATAGTCCCAGATCCAAAAAAAGTTTGAAGTCAGCGAGATTTTTATGTATTTCAATTTATACCTTTTATTTTCCTCAATTTCATCTGACACTTTCCAACTTCAAATCTCTTCTTTGCGACTTTACTTAGGCAGCTTATCTCATTTGTTTTTTCAAGAAGATAAAATTGCTTTTTTTCTTTTTTTCCTTGTACCCCTCCCCCTTCTCAGCAGACACGTTCTGCAAAAAGTTTTTAAAAATATTAAAATGATTTTCGTAAGCCGCAACTAAAAAAAAAAATTCAGTTTTAAAAACGCTAAATGTAATATACTATAAGCTTTAAAAAATAAAGCAAATATAAGTTATTTATTAAAAAGCTCAGAGAAATAATTTTGTACATTTATCTGGCCAGATTTAAGCGAATAGTAATATTTATAAAGCGCCTATACTTTTCAATGCTAAGCGCTTTACAATACTGTCCGGAAAAAAATAAAAATCTCACAATCATTTACATATAATCCTTACGTAGTCACAAAAACCAGCAAGATAAAAACATGAGATAGTTCGTAAACTCGCTTAAAAAGAAAGGTCTTCACAATTTTGATTCAAACTTATTTACATCATGATCATCGATCGATCTAATCAATAGGCAGATCGTTCCTTAGTACAGGGGCAATGACTGAAAAAGCCCTTAAACCGTATGGGCCAATTATTAAAACGAAGTCTAAGTTAACCCGTGATTAAGGCCATGCCGCTGTTTAGACGTTGTCTCGATAAGCAACGGTCAAACCATCTTTGAAATACATTATTAAAACGTGATTGAGCCGTGTTTTTACCATTCAATGGCTAAACAATGTCTAACAAGGAAATGTTTTGTCTGTGCATAGTGGTCTGTGGAGTTATGTGTATGCACATTTAATTCACTGTTGGAAGTTGTGACTCAATATGGTCTCTAATGCGGCCGAACAACCGATTTTAGCAAAGAAGAAAAACTTTTAATGGCGGCATTGGGAAGAGAATTTCCAGAAACAAAAATGTAAAGGATACGACAACAAAACATTACAAATATTCAACTCTCAAAATCCAAACGGTATCAAACGGGAAATGAATCAGACTTAAGGATGCCTGAGGCGGCTGAAACTCCAATCCAAGAGAGAACATGATTTCCAAAGTCGTGGAGCAAGAGAAACTAGTGGAAGAATCTCAGAATCGAAGTTATTCGCAGGAAAGGAGCAAATGTCATGAAAAAGGACAGAAAATAAGCTAGGGAAAGTTAGGAGTACATCTCCAGTAATTTTCGAACGCCCCACAAAACTGACGAAACTTTCTCTTGGTTTATGTCAAGTTCTCAGGGAAGGACAGGGAATGTTCTTTTCTTTTCGTGATAGTCCTTGAAACCTTGTGAAAGGCTCAGTGCATCCAGCAAATACAGAAACACCAAATAAATTTCCAATGACCTGCTCGAAAGTTCACCCCCGTACTATAAAATCTCAAAGCAATAAAAAATTGCAGCAACGGTGTAAGCGCCAGGCCTATCCTTTTATAGTGTTGACAGGTCTTTATTCAAAATTTTTAAGAGGTCAGTGACCGAGTATTTCTAAGGCGAAAACGCAGTCGAAAATCTTTGTGATCATATTCCGCTAAAACCTAAGGTGTGGAATTTGTTGAACATGTATATTACGTCAATTACACGCGCTGCAGCGTTTTGGGCACTTTACAGTTTGTTAATCTCATACTTGGAAAGACCATGTAAAAGCGAGTTGCAGAAATCCAGCTTAGAATTTACGAATGTGTGTACAAGAACTTCAACCGTTGTAACATTGATATACTTACGAATCTTAGCTATATTTCTAAGGTGGTTGAGTGCCCCTTTAACTATTGTTGATATGAAAAGACATCGTTGCGGTGTTATTGAAAGTTACGCCGATATTACGCGCCCTATTTGTAGGCTTGATGATATCCGTTCCTATTTTAATAGAAGGAAGCCGTGGAGGCAGTCTGAACCTAGAATAGAGAATAAAAAGTTCCGTTTTGTCAGTATTTAGTTTCAGTTTGTTAGTAGTAATTAATCCAGTTAATGATATCGGAAAGACAGCTTTCAATCCGGGAAATTGTAGTGGTAAGATCAACGCTATCCACAACTGAAGGTGGTGTACAGTTTGTAATGTAATGTAAATGTAAATATCATATTATCCACTTCCCTCAGGGCTTTTCCGGGATAATTTATAATTACAACACTGATTGGGGGACTTAGCTTTGCCAGACTGCTTAAGGTGCAGTTTACAAGTAGTGAAGGAATGAGTAATGATGCCCCCATACATGAGCGTGAAAGTGAGATAGACCAATACACCGGGCACTACGTGCCCTACTCTTCACGAAGAGTGTGTGGGTTCATAACTTCCCACAGATTTATTACATGTGCGAGGGCTTATGAGACGGGGCCTACGGTTTATCGTCCTTAACGGAGAAGACTAGAAAGTTTAACCGTTTGCAGATGTTATTACAACTTCAGGACTTTCTCCTCAGTTATTTAAAGACCCTAAGTGTAGGTCCGGCCGGGGTTTGAACCTACGGCCTCCTGCTCAGCAGACCGGCGCTTATCCCATTGAGCTAACCGGGCGGCGGTTAAGGTGGTTAAGTTGGGTATCATCAACATATAGATGGAGTTCCATACCATGATGCCATCGTGTTAGGCCACCCAGTGGGGCCTTGTATAAGAGATATAGCAACGGGCCCAACACTGGCCCCTGGGGTACCCCAAATCTGAGCGGACGAACTGACTAATACAGCCGTCTCTCTTCGCTCTCACGAAAGGCCCCTAGCGGCGAGGAGAGAAACTGCTGTATCCGAAGGCTCGTGGCCGTTATTTGTGTTTACATCAGACCCGCAAATTTTACCAACAAGCCTCGTTTTGGAGTTGTACCTTTATGAAATTTCACAACCAGTTGTCTCAAGCATCTGTTTCAAAGCGAGCCTAAGTGCGAAGCCATTGATATGGAAATTATTTTTTATTCTCATGCAAATAAAACTCATTTTCATAAAAAAAGGTTTTGTATTTCGCCTGGTTTTGAAAGTGAGAGTTTTTGGAACTCGGAAATGGCCTGTTCCCAGTGCAGTAAAGTTGAATAAATAATTTTCACGCACAAACAGAGGAAATGCAAAGAATTTAGTACCCAAACGAAGCTTGGTGGTATAAAAATAAGCAAGTCTGACGTAATCTATGCATATGGGCTATTCAATAGCAAAGGATACAGTTAAATTTAGCCGTAATCGATTATGAAGCCTGGTTCCAACCACGTGACCCTGAAACAGCCAATGGGAGTAACCGATTGATTAAGAGGCCAAGAAGGTCTATGAACCTTTTTTTTTTTTTTTAAAGAAAATTACAGTATAGATTTAAGTAGCCTGAATTTCATCCCATTGCTTTGAGTCATTTTCTCTTCTCAGCAACGTCTGAATCAACCGGCCGTTAATGCCGTCCAGTGACGTCACTACCCGGAAACCAGGTAGTGATTTTGATTGGTTGAGGCTATTGGTTAATTCTCTAAACATTCGCTTATGAGAAATTTCAGCGGGATTGTCGCTTGATAA